ACTCTTTAGTTTTCCGGTTGTGAAAGACGGCGAAAGTATGGCTCGGATTCGCTTCCATTCGGGATATTTCGAGAAGAAGAGTGATGTGTGTAACGGGTCTTTAGGTGTCGTCGAGTCCTATATTGTGCACCAGTTTTTGTATTTGTTTACTTTTACAATAGATTTCAATTGTTTGTTGTATTTTATTACCCGATGATTTGCAAACTTATGAAAGTCTGTCACTAATACCGAGCGAATGAATTGTGGGTCAGTTATGGAGAGACAGGGTCTCAGTCCCTCATAAAATCTGTTTTACAAACATTTTATTAATTTCTATAATAGTATTCAATTTTTAAATTTTAATTCTAATGTTAAATCTAAAAATTAACATCATTAAAATGAATAAAGTTATTTTATAAAAATTTATCTGCATTAGTAAGTTACAATGAATAGATTAAGAGCTACAGTATTACGAAATGATATAAATTTATCATTATTACCCGACAATTTTGCCATACTTCCTATGACTTTGTAAATCAGACAAATGAAAGGGTTGTCCACTCCTTGACCACAAATCATTAGGTATTCCTTGACGACTCCAAAACGTAAGTTTGTAATAGACATATGCTGAAACAATTATTATAAAACATGGTATTAATGCAATTAAAAACATTTTTAACTGATATAAATTTTTATGTTATTTGTATTAAAAGAAAATTCAACTAACCAACGATTATTTATTAAATTTTATTGGATATACTGTACTGATTAGTTCAATAGCATATCTACAAATAAACATGATTAGCAAATAAAAGTCAATGTAATTTATAAGGTACTATACTTATATTTCTGATTTATTTATAAATTAATAATAATTAAGTCAATATTCTTTGAATGACTTGTAAAAATTATTTATATTTATTTCATTTCTTCTTATAAAAGTGATTAAAATATTAAATCTTAAATCATTATAATTATGGTAAACGTTAATAAACTTAATTTTAAACTTGTTTTTGTGGCTTTGACTTTAATATCGCAATAGTTTAAAATTGTTAGTTATCGTCAAGTTTTGAACAAAGTCTAAATCTCTAATAAGTCTAATAAAAGTCAAGACCTTTATTATATAAATATTTATTATATTTATTTTTAATATTTTAATTGTTCTTGATATAATTTATTAATTTAATTAATAATAAATTTATATTAAATATTTACTATTTTTTCACTTGTTATTTGTCTTTTTAAAAATAATTAAAATTTCCTTAAATAATAATATGATTTAAGTTATTATATTATTTATTTTTAAATAAAAAGAGAGTGTCAAAATTCTTACTATTTATTAATACGATCAAGTTAATTTGAAAAATTAAACAAAATTATATAAGTATTTTTTGTGTTTTATAACATACGGCAGTAAAGTTATAAATCAGATGTTATTAAATACTTTTATTAATAAATTAAAATTATAAAGTTAAGATTTATATAATCTATAAATTATAGACTATAATAATAGTTATAATTTCTAAATAGATATTTTGTAAATAATACAATTTTATATAAAATTATACAATTAAAATAATAAAAAGTTATACAGCTTCTACATTATAAACTTTATTGTAGAGTAAACCGGAATTAAATTCACATATAAAATGCAATATATATTCGGTTCATTTAAATTCAATTATATTTACAGTAAATATAATTGAATTTAAATGAACCGAATATATATTGCATTTTATATGTGAATTTAATTCCGGTTTACTCTACAATAAAGTTTATAATGTAGAAGCTGTATAACTTTTTATTATTTTAATTGTATCATTTTATATAAAATTGTATTATTTACAAAATATCTATTTAGAAATTATAACTATTATTATAGTCTATAATTTATAGATTATATAAATCTTAACTTTATAATTTTAATTTATTAATAAAATTTGTATTTAATAACATCTGATTTATAACTTTACTACCGTATGTTATAAAACAGTCAAAAATACTTACCGGTATATAATTTTGTTTAATTTTTCAAATTAACTTGATCATATTAATAAATAGTAAGAATTTGAGAATTTTGCCACTCTCGTTTTATTTAAAAATAAATAATATAATAACTTAAATCATATTATTATTTAAGGAAATCTTAATTATTTTTAAAAAGACAAATAACAAGTGATTAAATCGTATATATTTAATATAAATTTATTATTAATTAAATTAATAAATTATATCAAGAACAATTAAAATATTAAAAATAAATACAATAAATATTTATATAATAAAGGTCTTGACTTTTATTAGACTTATTAGAGATTTAGACTTTGTTCAAAACTTTCCGATAACTTACAATTATAAACTATTGCGATATTAAAGTCAAAGCCACAAAAACAAGTTTAAAATTAAGTTTATTAACGTTTACCATAATTATAATGATTTAAGATTTAATATTTTAAAGTATTTTAGTTTAATATTTTAAATATTTACAAGTCATTCAAAGAATATACCGATATTGACTTATTTATTATTAATTTATAAATGAATATCAGACATAGTACCCTATAAATTACATTGACTTTTATTTGCTAATCATGTTTATTTATAGATATGCTATTGAACTAATCAATACAGTATATCCAATAAAATCTAATAAATAATGGTTTGTTAGTTGAATTTTCTTTAATACAAAAAACATAAAAATTTATATCAGTTAAAAATGTTTTTAATTGCATTAATACCATGTTTTATAATAATTGTTTCAGTATATGTCTATTACAAACTTACGTTTTGGAGTCGTCAAGGAATACCTAATGATTTGTGGTCAAGGAGTGGACAGCCCTTTCATTTGTCTGATTTACAAAGTCATAGGAAGTATGGCAAAATTGTCGGGTAATAATGATAAATTTATATAATTTCGTAATACTGTAGCTCCTAATCTATTCACTGTAACTTACTAATGTAGATAAATTTTTATAAAATATTCATTTTAATGATGTTTAGATTTAACATTAGAATTAAATTTAAAAAATTGAATACTATTATAGAAATTAATAAAATGTTTGCAAAACAGATTTTATGAAGGACTGAGACCCTGTCTCTCCATAACTGACCCACAATTCATTCGTTCGGTATTAGTGACAGACTTTCATAAGTTTGCAAATCATCGGGTAATCAAATACAGCAAACAATTGAAATCTATTGTAAAAGTAAACAAATACCAAAACTGATCCACAATATAGGACTCGACGACACCTAAAGACCCGTTACACACATCACTCTTCTTCTCGAAATATCCCGAATGGAAGCGAATCCGAGCCATACTTTCGCCGTCTTTCACAACCGGAAAACTAAAGAGTTTTCAACCGATGTTCAGAAACTCATTGAATAATTTGATCGACAAATTGAAAGACGAGTTCAAACACAACGAGATCACAGACTTGCGGCCCATTTATGACTCGTTCGCATTTGATGTCATCTCAAAGTCGGCGTTTGGTCTCAACACCAATATTATGGACAATCCGGACAATCCTATCTTCATGGCGGCCAAGAGTTTCTTCCAAACGGGTCTCACGTTTGAGACATTCATTTGCTTTCTGTTCCCACAACTCAAAAATTACTTCAATTTATATGTTTTCAATAAACAAAGTCAACAAACAATCGCCGATTATATCAAACAAGTGATTAAAGCCAGGATTGACAGCAATTTTGAGGCCAAAGATTTGCTACAATTGTCTATAAATGCGAGCGTTTTCTCGCCAAAAGTCACGTCTAATTCGTTTGAAAGTATTGCTGACATTCATGTCATTATGTTTTGATTTTATAATTAATTTTTTGAATCCATTTAGAGCTGACCGAAGAGGAAGTGTTGGCCCAAAGTATCAATTTGATGGCCGCCGGCTATGACACGACTTCAACTCAATTGTGTTTTATTACTCGCTTTTTGGCACTGAATCCAGATTTTCAGACACAACTCGTCGATGAAATGAATGATAGTTTTGGTGGTAAAACTGATGTCGATTACGAGTCGCTCATGAAAATGTCATATTTGGACGCTTTCCTCAAAGAGATTATGAGAATTAACTGCTCTGTCAATAGGTATCATAAAAACAATTGTAATTTAATTTGAAAATCTAAAAATCTTATCAATTATTACAGAATAGATAGGATTGCGACAAATGATTGTGTAATTGACGGCATATTTCTACCGAAAGGCACATCCATTATAATCCCTATTTGGGCCCTACATCTGGATGCAGACAATTACGATGAGCCGGACGTTTTCAAACCCCAGAGATTTTTAGCCGAAAATTCTTCTAACATTAAAGACTATACTTACTTACCGTTTGCTTCTGGACCTCGAAATTGCATCGGAAAGAGGTTCGCGGAAATGGAGATCAAATACTTTTTGGTACAAATATTACGAGACTTTCAATTTACAGCATGCGATCAGACAAGTGTTAGTCTTATTACCTATTTATTAAAGCCAGAAATTTTCATATTTTGCACATTATTTAAATTTATATTTTTAAACAGGAATTGGATTTCTATAAACTCATTCAGACGTCTACTATGAAACAGCTTATGGTTAAAGTGAAACCAAGAAACAGTCAATAATTTCTTTAAATAACAATTTTATTCATTAGGTTTAGAGCAAAAATTGTACTTGAACAGAATTGATATTAACAAAATTAGAAACTAACAATTTAATAAAATATCTTAGAAAGTCTTAAACAACTAAATAAATTTGATGACTTGTGTGCTCTTATAATACTTGTAATTTAGAGATACAATAAAAGTGAGCGATGAGAGAGACAATTGAATGTGGATTATCTGAATGCCAAATATGAATACAATGACTGGAATGACATATAAATGGCAAACCATGAGACATGTGTAGACAAGTCCGGCAATCAATCCAATGAAAGCACTGAATAGCAATAAATAGTAGTTTTTGTTGACAAAATGCCAAATATGAATACAATGACTGGAATGACATATAAATGGCAAACCATGAGACATGTGTAGACAAGTCCGGCAATCAATCCAATGAAAGCACTGAATAGCAATAAATAGTAGTTTTTGTTGACAATTCCGCAAAGACCACACATATGACCACTGATTGCCACCAGTATTCCTACCATTTTGAGCCCAATAACCACTGGTTTGTTGCACGGGATATCTGAGTCGACCGTCAAATATAATTGCAATAAATTTAAAAAATTCATGAATTCGGTGAAGAAAATAACGCCTAAAATAATGGTGTAAATGACGTTAAGAGTGATAATCAATCTCAATATGATATGTCTTCGTTTGCCGACATTTAAGAAGTGTTCAATCATTTGCTGGATGCGATCCATAAGACTTAGCTTTTGAGGTACGGCTGACATTATGGACGAGTTGTACAGACTAACTGTAAATTGTTTTTAAAATAAACGAATATAAGATATCGAGATATGATAACTGCACGAGATTTGTTAAATTGAATTCATATGAGAATAACTGAATACAGTTTTACAGATTTGTAGAGAAAAGTGTGAAGCAATTGATTTTCTAACAGTAGTTTGAATTTAAATAGTAGTAAAATTTGTTTGAAATTCAGTTCAAGTGTTATTATTTGGTGTGAATTGAGAAATGGATTCTTCGGATAATAAGATAACTAATGATTGCGAAGAAATGCTAAAACAGATCGTTATTCTTAAGCAAAGTTTGGCTCAATTTCGAGAAGAATTGTTAGAAGAATTGGTTGACATTTGTGAGCGAAGAATGAAAGAATTCAATGAAATGCTGATCAATAAAGTGAAGGATAAAGTGGACACAAATGAGTGATAATGAAGACTTCGACAAATGATTATCACTTATAATTAGCCCACTATTTGTTTTAAATATGTTTTTATTTTAGCCCTCATATTTTGTATAATTTGTTACAAAAAAATAGTTGTAAAACAAAATTATTTATAAATACTTAAAACTTAAATTTAGAAATATGTTTATAAATGAATAAAATTGTTAAAATTTATAGTTATAAATACTGTAATAAGTTATGTATTTTAAAGCCTTTGTTTTACTGTAAATATAATTGAATGTTTTATTAATTTAGATAAATATTAAGATTGATAACTTAAATTAATCAATTGATAGATGAATTCAATATGAATGTTGTGTTCAAAGGGGAGGAATGCTATCAAATACATCATTGGAAGCGCTGAGCGGAGATTTAGGCAGTGTTTTGAGTTTGACTGAAGTAAACACATCTTTGTACCGATTGAGCAAATTATCGCATTTATCATTATTTTCCTGATAATCGCCGCACAGGTATTGCAAGACATCGAACATAGTCTCAGTCACATAGCCGTCCAGTTCTGCCTGAGCCTTACGATTGCAGGGCTCGGCGTCTCTAGTCTTAGCCCAGGCCTCGTTCACACAGTCGTGAAACTTATGGTATGAACTAAAACAGAAAAAAATCGTAATTAAATCATATAAATAGTTATTGAAAAATACATACCAACAAAGTAATGGTATTAAATGTTTGTCATTTTTAATGGCAGTCTTTTTCGAGCGATTAATTTGCTCGCTTTCCTCACTATATTTTTGAAAACACTGAACGGTATCGGCTTTAGCGAAGTTCCCGCACTTTCCGGCCATTATAAAGTTACTTCGAGTGGCCTCCGATCGGCACCTCTTTGTGAAGACTTTTTTGATGGAAAACATGAATAAATTGGTCACGTGACGACTGGT